TAAGGCTGTTAAGTGATAGGAATGGGATGCAATCTTAGGTCCGCCCTTAATCTCTATGCATAATGTTTCTCATGCAAGGAAATATGGGGTGGATATGGATATGTGCATTGGGTGAAATGTATCCAAAGGGATTCCACGGGTTAGTCTGAGGGAGTCTATGGCAGCTAGAAGGAGCCCTGGCGGCACTGTTGATTAAGTGTTGAGCCACTAACAGCAAGGTCAAGTGCTTCAGACCCATCGGCCACTCCGCAGGTGAAAGATGAGGCCAACTTACTCCTCCTCTCAGAGTCCGGAAACTCCACAAAGGGTTTCTGTGAGTCACGAGTTGACACCATGGTAGTGTTTGGTTTTTATTTCCTTTGGATAATCACTATTGAATTGTCATGTAAACTTTTCTAGGTGCATATACGAATTTTTCTATGAGTCTAGATCTTTCACTAGATCTCAAAAGTATATGTGATACTCCCATCCACCCCCCATCAAAATTATGAACCCATTAGACATGAAGCTGCTATGAGTTGGAACTTGATGGCAGCGAATAGCAACTAAAATTAAGACTGCTTCAGTAAGGAGGCTAGATATTTATGGCTCTTTATTTCACATCAGTAATCACAATAAGAAATTACTTAGAGCAGTGTATGCTGGTTATTCATAGTAGGTATGTACAACCAACCATACCACTGAGTCGATTCTGTCTCACAGAGTTTCGAAGGCTGTAAATCTTTATACGAGACGACCTCATTTTTCTCCTGTGGAGCAGCTGGTGAGTTTTGAACCACTGACATTGTGGCTAGCAGTCCAATGCTTACCCAACAGCACCAGCAGGGCTCCTTTATAAAATACATGTAGCTAATACAATCATATTAGTACTTTTAATACCAATCGTTAAGAACTCTATAGAGCATAGCTCTACTCTGACACACATGGGGTCATCATATGTCAGAATCAATTTGCTGGCAACTGACAAGCAAGCAAACAAAAAGGATCATGTTCTTACTTGAATTAGAAAACAACCTAGCATTCGCCACAAAACAGTAAATGTTTGTCACTGGTTGCTAACCTATTTATTGATGCACCTGTGCATTAAGTAGCCTTTTCTCACACGCTACCTTGACTTACGGTAGAATAAATTTAGAAGTATAAAATTTAAAGACTGTTGTAGAATTTAGGAGTAGTAAGGACACTGAAGAATCCTGGTAGTACAGTGGGTAAGCATGGCAGTCTGCTTCCGTAAAGACGAAAAATCCACTGCCATTCAGTTGATTGCAACCCATAGCAACCCTCTAGGATGGAACAGAACTGCCCCATAGGGTTTCCCAGTTTATACATTTTTATGGAAGTAGACTACCATATGCTTCTCACATGGAGTGGCTAATGAGTTAAAACTGTTGACCTCTCGCTTAGCAGCTGAGCATCACCTGAACTCTTTCTATGAGCTGGTATTGACTTGATAGTGAGTTTATGTGCAGACATATTACGAGACTTTTTTATTTTTTCAAGATAATGTACTTTTAGCTTAGAAAAAAAGAAATTCCCTTAATCACTCATGTAACAAAGGGACAACCCAGCAGCATTTATGTCTTGGATAACAGTAAGTCAGTATAATTGTTAAAGTGGTGAAATACTTCTATTCAATTGTTAACATACATAGTGAAAGTGGTGAAATACTTCCACACAGACTGGTATGCAGAATAATAGCATCTGTATTAAATAGTAAAATTAATAATCTAAATTCTAATATGAATTTGTTAATTTATGTTAAATGCCATTGCCAAAACAACTACTGTTGTTAACACCACTTGTTATACTGAATAGTTTATTAAACATAAATTGATATACATAGAAACTAAATATGTAACAATTTTAGATAATATTAAAAGGCTAGACTTTTTTTTTGAATGAGACACAAAAGCTGAGAGAAGATTCAACACTATAAATAGTACTTTCTCATTAACAAAAATGTTCTCTTTCTTAAAATGACCCAGCAATTTCAGTGCAGGAAGATAACGGGACCTGGGAAGTAGTGCTGATATAGATATGGATAGTACCCATTTGGCTGCTTTAATGAACCAAGATCGTGTCAAGGTTAAGAATGTGACCCACCTAGATTGGCAGTTCAAACCCAGCCACTACTCAGGAGAAAGATGAGGTAGCCCATCTGCTCTTGTAAAGATTTATAGCCTTGGAAACCTGATATAGAGGCATTACCCGATGGCAGTGGGTTTAGTTGGGTTTAAGGGATAAATGGAGTAGGCAGCATGGACAGGTAGCATTATGATCATGTGGGAAGTACTGGTATCTCAGTACCTAATGAACCTTGATTGGCGTAACACATCTACTTGCCCTTTCACCCCAACAAAATGCTAAGTGCTGCTTTTAGTTTTTCATTTATATCCTAATTGATGTCCCTTAATTCGTTCTGTATGTCTCTAGATATCAGGAAAAAAATTCAGTTAACATTTTCCTTGTTTGATTTGAGTCTATTTTCCCTTTTAATCTTCCAAACTGTCAGTGAATAACTACATTAAATATCTCTTCCACATGTAGAGGACGAGAAATATGACTAGATTTTCTATATATTCAAATAACTGAGGCATTTGGGGGAGGAGGAAGAGTTAGATAACATTTCAAGTATCTATACTGATTTAATACAGGGGACCCTAGGGTTTTCATGCTTAATTTTTGAGTTTCTTCAGTGGTTTTTGCTCTGTCTATGAATTAATGTCCAAAAGCCTAAACTTGAGAATTCTACCAACTAGAAATATACTTAACAGTCAATCCTACACCAACTAACCCAAAGTGAAACTGTAAGAGGTAAGATAAGAGAGACGACTAGGAGATCCCTGAGCAAATGTACTCCTCTTGGAAAAACAGCCAAACTTGGCTCCTGCTGCCAATTTGTAGCATCAGGAATATTTACAAAAGGGTGCCAGTGCTTCCCAAAGATCCGCTGAGACCCCTTCCTGCATCACACGAGAATACTGCAGCCCTCGCTGAAGGGACAACGAAGACAAGCGGGCGCAGGAGAGCCCAGGCTTTGAATTGCTCCTCTCAGCTCTGATGCCATTGAGAAGCTGGTGTGTTTGGCCACAAAACAGTGTAAAAACTGTGAAGCAGCCCTGAAAATCTTGGTGCTTGTCATAAGGAGACATTTCTCCTTGGGATTTAGGTCAGACTTCATTGCTGTTGCTCATTCTAAGATGATTCTTAAAAGTCAGCTAGCCAGAATGCTTCTGGAAGCCTGCAGCTTCCCCATCTTACAGTATGCTCCCCAAAAGTATTTCCGCAAGCTGGGCCCCATATGCCCATAGAGTAACAAGATGATTGACTTACTGTTGTTACGTGCTGTTGCTTCTGACTCACAGTGACCTCTGTCTGCACAACAAAACACCACCACGATCCTGCACCAGCCTCACAATTGTTCTTATAATTGAGCCCATGGTTGCAGCCACTGTGTCAATCCACCTCATCCAATACCTTCCTCTTTTTGGCTGCCCCTCCACAAGGTCAGCAATTAGAACCTACCAGTAGTTCCGAGGGAGAAAAATGGGACATTCGACCTGGTAAACAGGTACAGTCTTGGAAACTCGGAAACTTACAGGGACAGTTCTACCCTGTTCTATAGGGTCGCTATGAGTCAGTACTGACTTGATGGTAGTGAAAGGTTTTTTTTGAGTTGTCCTCCCACTCCCCACCAGGCATGAATGATGTCCTTCTCTACAGACTGGTCCCTCCTGACAAAGTCTCAGCATCCTTGCCTCTATGGGGCATTCTGGCTGTACTTCTTCCAAGACAGATCTGTTTGTTCTTTTGGCGGTCCATGGTTCTTTCAATATTCTTTGCCAACACTATAGTTCAAATGCATACATTTTTCTCAGGTTTTTCTCATTCAATATCCAACTTTCACATGCATATGAGGCAAACGAAAATACCAGTTCAGGCAACTGAAAAATGGCTTGGCTCTGGTGTACTTTAGTCCTCAAAGTAACATCCTTGCTTTGAACACTTTAAAGAGGTCTTGTGCAGAAGATTTACCCAATGAAATGTGTCGTTTGCTCTCTTGACTGCTGCTTTCATGAGCACTGATTGTGGATCCAAGCAAGATGAAATCTTTGACAACTTCGATCTTTCTTCCATTTATCATGATGTTACCTATTGGTCTAGTTGTGAGAAATGTTGTTTTCTTTATATTGAGTTGTAATCCACACTACAGGCAGCAGTCTTCGATCTTCATCAGCAGGTGCTTTAAGTCCTCCTCACTTTTAGCTAACAAATTGTGCAATCAGCATATTGCAGGTGTTATTTAGCCTTCCTCCAATCCTGATGCCGCATTCTTCGTCATGTAATCCAGTTTTTCTGATGATTTGTTCAACGTACAAATTGAATACGTATGGTGAAACCCTGACACACACCTTTCCTGATTCTACACCACATGGCATTCCCTTGTTCTGTTCAACAACTGCTTCTTGATCTGTATCCAGGTTCAGCATGAGCACAATGAAGTGTTCTGGAATACTCTTTCTTCTGAAGGATACCCAGTTTGTTATGAGCCACACAGTTGAATGTCTTGGCACATAGAATGAAGCACAGGTAAACATGATGCTTGAGTAGACTGTTAAAGCATGATTTTTACAAATGTCAATCAAAATCTTTCTTTGTAAGTTCCTGAATTTTCTGTACTTAAATCTTGTGGGAGAAAGCAAAAACCTTTCACTGGAATGCTTTAGTGAATTCCCTCTAACTGCTGCGTGATACATATCCATTCTATGTTTTTAATAAAGCTCTTTCTTTGCTTTTGTTTTAACAGAAACTCCAGCTTGCTCATTGATAAGACCCACTGGTTAGGAAATAGCACACATGGTGCTTCTGTGATCGTAACTATGTCCACAGTTCTGAAACATAAAGGAAAAACCAGAGAGCTCTTTTGCTGGGGGTCATAGCATCACCAAGGTGGGCTCGTGCCGAGGTCTTCCTACTGCTAGGAAGCTCTGTAGCCACCAATGGGACCAGAAGAAAAAGCCCAGTTAGGCACAGCTCTGAAAACCAGCCTCTTTGACGTTGTTTCCCATGTGAAGGGAATTGTGCTGGAAAAAGTGGGAGCGGAAGCCAGACAGCCAAATCCCACCATTAGGAAGTGTGTTCAGCTGATCAAGAATGGCAAGAAAATCACAGCCTTCGTGCTCAACGATGGTTGTTGTAATTTTGTTGAGGAAAACGAGGAAGTTCTGGTGGCTGGATTTGGCCGCCAAGGTCATTCAGCAGGTGACATTTCTGGAGTCCGTTTTAAGTTGTTAAAGTAGCCAGTGTGTCACTTTTGGCCTTATACAAAGGCAAGAAGAAAGGCCAACATCAAAAGTTTTGATGGTGAACATGTAATTTTCATTGACAGGAAAAAGAAAAAAAGACTCCAGAGTAATATTCCATGATGAATATTTAAATTAATATGTAAAGGGTCTATTAGTTTTTCATCCTGGCTTCTCTAAATTCACTAATGTATTAAGTAATCCTTTTCCAAAATTTTCTTCTCTTCTTTGGCCCTCTTCTCTGACTTCTAAGCCTTCCTTTAGTAAAAGGATATTGCCTATAAATCTATATGTCAGTTTGGGAATTGGAAATATTGTGCTACAGAAAAGAACATCAGCAAAACCACATAAAAAAATGGGTTTGCCAAAACTCACCATCAGAGGGCGCAGCAGTACTACAATAAACAACTCCCAAATTCTGCCAGGAAGAAAGCCTCTGGGGCACCTAGAAAAATAAAGAAGAAACATTTACTCTTCAAAGAACAGAGTAGCAAATGTTAGCCACACATGTATGTGCATATAAAACACAATAGTTTTCGGATTCCTTCAGTAATGTCCATTCTTTACGCTGTTGTTAGGTGCCCGTGAATCCGTGCTGACTCATAGTGACTGTGTGTTCAACAGAACAAACACAGGCTGCCGGGCCGGGCACCATCCTTACAATTGTTCTTATGTTAGAGCTCATATTCTTCATAGAAACGTTTGAAAGTACAGATCAAAGACATCAAGCCTGAAAGCTGCTCTCGTTTAAAGATAAAGCAGAGAACATTTTGGAGTCTTTCATTATCATACACAAACAACTCAGAGAAGGAGGGTGAGAGAGATCACACAACTTGAAGAAGGTGGTAATATGTCGCTGAATGGTACATGTAGAAACTGTCAAACTGGTGTGTGCTTTCACCATGCACATTCTCAACGATGACAAGAGTAAATCACTAAAAAATGACATACAAACACATTTATGCACACACACGAATGGAATACACTAACTCACTATCAGTTGTCTCATTACCTGACTTTACACACTTCACGACAATAACAAAACCAAACTCACTGTGACCCCACAAGGCAGGTAGAACTCAGTATCTTTTGGATTGTTGAGACTGTAAATCTCGACGGGAGCAGAAGGCTTTGGGGAGTTACAACTGGGGGTTTTGTGGTTAGCAGGCCAACATGCAGCCCACTACGGCAGCTGCAGGGATCCAACAAAAACTATGACCCAACGATTGCACATCTGGACGTATCAAACACTTAGATATGAGTTGAAAGTAAATGGTGGCTGTGATGGTTCAGGTTATGGGTCAGCTTGACTGGGCTACTGATCTCAGTGGTCTGACCGTTATGTAACGATGCAAACATCTCCACTTTGTGACCTGAGGTGATCACCCTCCCTTTTCACATAAGACAGATTTTATATAATGACTCAGCCTATGTCAGTGAGGAAAGTGTGTACTCACAAAATTAGAATTACACAAATTGTTTTTTCAACTTAAAAAAAACACATTTAATATTGGTTTTAAGCATTATCAGTTCTGAACTCTCTTGCGTCGTCTTCTTCCTTTTAGTTTCGGTCCATTTCCTTCCTAGCTGTATCATACATTCTTTTAGTAGATCAGTTAGCTTATTTTTTTATTCTCTTTTTTTTAACTTTGGACAGGCAACTTCATTCCTCAAGTCCTCAATCATTACTTTCTGAGTATTAGAAAAAAATCACTCACATCACATCTGCTTTTGCCATCTCTTCAAAGAGTAAAGTCACTATGGATCTAGGTTTGGTGTTCAGGTTTTCATAACAAAACTAAGTTTTAGAAAGAATACTGAATTTGGTTCTGATTTGTCAAGTGCTTGATTCATTCCATCATACCTTCTACTTTCCAAACTCCACAAAGTAACAATGAAGGAGGAAGAAAGGAAGGTTTGAAACAACGGAAAACCAATATGCTGGCCTCAGACTGTATATCTACTCCAAGCCAAGGCACGTAGGACTCTACAGTAATACATCTTTTAACAGAGACAGCTATGGCTCACAGCAGACGTATGCTTCACGTAAGTATCATTAAACTCATCTCCTTCCACTTAAAAGTGTATGCAGCAATATGAGGGTGATACTTATAAAAATGTAAATAAATCTCTTAGCATTACGTGTGGCCTAATTTACAGCTGATGGTGGCACATTTAACATGTCTTGATATTGTCACTGATGACCTCTATCTCTGAGTTAATGTATAAAAGGCTTGTTGATATTTTCTGAAGAACACTGAAATTATTAGAGATAATTCACCTTTCCTAGACCCTCCCAGATGACGTCTTTAATTACACTGGAAACAAAACAAAATTTTATTTCTTAAGTGTTACCAAACAAATATATAGGTCTTTTTCCTTTTTTAATCTCTAGAAATTTATAGTCTAACAAGGCCAATGAAAACAAAATTATTCCAGGAGTGTAAGGGGAAGGTGGGGGGGAGAAAGGGGAAACTGATCACAATGATCTACTTATAACATCCTTCCAGGGGGATGGACAACAGAAATGTGGGTGAAGGGAGACATAGGTCAGTGTAAGGCATGAAAAAAAAAAAACAACTTATAAATTATTAAGGGTTCATGAGGGAGGGAAGGAGGGGAGGAGAAGGAGGGGAAAAAGTAAGCCAAGGGATCAAGTAGAAAGAAAATGTTTTTAAAATGATGATGGTAACAAATACAAATGTGCTTGACACATGGATGGATGTATGGATTGTGATAAGAGCTGTACGAGCCCCCAATAAAATGATTAAAAAACAAAACAAAATTATTCTGTTTTTCTTGTTGTCTTGAAACAAAAAAATAAGCAGGAAATGTAGGTGGTGAAGATCAGATGAACAATGCTATTCTAAGCTGTGTTGTATGACTCTCTTAGGTTGAGTACGTGTGATTGTTTAAACTGCATTTTTAAGGTGTCTCAAGAAAATAGTAGACTTTCAATTAATAAAATAATTGCTAAAAATATGTCAAGATGTTAAAACAAAAATGTCATCAAAATATTCAGGCAATGGTATCTATAATTCATCTATTTAAATTTAATAATCAGAAAGCAAGAGAAAGGCTAAGAAAGTTAATATTCAGAATGCACATAAATCATCGGAGAAATCATACGTAAGTCACAATCCACTAGGTAGCAACGGGTTTGTTTTTTGTTTTTGGCCCATTCTAGTCTTGAAAAAACAAACAAAATGTATATTGGCAATACAGCTTTCAAATGAACAAGACAGGCAATACAGCTTCCAAATAAACATTACAATTTGGAGCTAAGTACCTGTCAACGCCATCAACATATACAATGCCTATAAAGACAAGAAGAAAAGAAATCTGCCCCTCCCCCCAGAAGAATTTATTTCAAAGGACAGCCTGAATCCGCAGCTCCAGGAGAGGGACATATCTGACTGGAGCACACAGGAGCAGATGATTGGGGAGGAGGAGAGACTGGACACATCCTGGCCCACCAGGCCTTGAGGAAGATGACCCCAATTAGAGCAGCCAGTCCACAGAGGGGACCACATGGCCAGCCCCACTATGAGACATGATGCCCCTCACTGACCCATGGCTCTGCTGGGGACAGCACCAGAGACACAGTGTGGGAATTGCACACGATTTGATCCCGCCACACTGAGGCAAAGCACTGGGGGAGTGCAGCGGAACAGCAAGGGAAGGGAGCAGCAAGGTCCCCAGGGAAGGATGAAGGCAGACTTTGGGGCCAGGGCGTGGTGCCCCAACAGACTGGACTGGAAAACACTCCTAAAGGCCAACGATCCTTGAACTAACTACAAGCTTTTCTTTCTTGT